TAAATACTAACCTTATAATAATTTGATATATAATAAAATAAAATAATATATATCGTATATAATATAATTCTCACTAAATTAATGTTCTATCAATAATACATATTTATGATCTACATTCTATATGGTGTGCTTATAGTTAAATGGCTATATGGTTAAATTGAGTACAATTGTTATTAATGTTTTTATTGTTTTTATCTGTTTTATATGGGCTTTGCCCCTTGTAAGCCGCCCTGAGCCTGCTCTGCGGGGAGGGCGGGATATAAATCTCAATAAATAAATAATGCTTGGTGTAGTGGTGCCAGTTTGGTGCAGTGGTTAAGAGCGCAGACTCTAATCTGGGAGAACTGGGTTTGATTCCCCACTCCTCCACATGCAGCTGCTGGAGTGACCTTGGGTCAGTCATAAGTTCTTTCAGAGCTGTTTTTCTTCTTCTTCTTTTTAACTACCCCAAGGAGGGATAGAATTTTATTTTAAAAATTTCAAAAACATACGAACATTAAAGACAAACAAACATAGAATGCGGGTAATTCTTCTCAGATGATACCATTCTTATGCCAACATTTAACATAATACGTATTAAGATGATATGAGTAATTAAAGCTAGATTTTAATAAACTGGGCTACATCAACACATCTATTTCTTCATATATTTGCAGCTATCTACCTGCCAACCTATCAGTTCGAAAGCAAGAAATTGCAAGTAGATAAATAGGTACCACTCCGGTGGGAAGGGAACAGCGTTCCGTGCGCTTTGGTGTTTAGTCATGCCGGCCACATGACCATGGAAACGTCTTCGGACAGCGCTGGCTCTTCGGCTTTGAAACGGAGATGAGCACCGCAACCCTAGAGTCAGACTCGACTGGCTTTCGAGCAAGGGAACCTTTTTACCTGTTCATAACGCATTGTAATTATTATATCAAATATAAAATCTAGACCAAGTGTTCTGAAATGTAGAGTCTGGTAATCCTTTCATCAATAAAGTCAATTTATCCAGTTCAGCCGCTTCCAACAGTTTATCTATATATTCTTGTTTCGTGGGGACTTCAGGTGTTTTCAGAGCTGTTCTTGAAAGAACAGTCCTTGAGAGAGGTCTCTCAGCCCCATAGACCTCACAGGGTGTCTGTTGCGGGGAGGGGAAGGGAAAGGAGATCATATGCCATTCTGAAACCCCAAGTGAAGTTGTTCAGTCGCGCAGTCAATTCCGACTCTTCGCGACCCCATGGACCACATCACGCCAGGTCCTCCTGTCTTCTGTCGTGCTATGGAGTGAAGGCCAGGGTATAAATCCAATCTCCTCCTCCTCCTCTTCTTCTTCCCATCCAAATACTAGCCAGAGCTAACCCTGCTTAGCTTCTGAGATCTGACGAGCACGTGCATACCAACAAATAAATTCTTTCTGGTGTAAGAATAAAGCATAACACACAATCCCAAAACAGTCTGGTATGAAAAAATATCAACTTTCATACTCACTTTATTTTATAGAGACTGATAAACCAATGTAATATAATGTAATTTCAATGTAATATCACTAGAATTCTGTGTTTATAGATTTGCTCCTGAGGAAAGACCAGAGGTCCGAAACACTTAAATATCCGGAATAAGTGTTGAAGGAGAGATTGAATTTGGAGCAGACTGCTTTTGAGAATACAAAACCGTTAGAAGGATATCGACTGAGAGAGTTTGGAGCAGACTGCTATCTGTAATTTTATTGACCTTTGTATTTTTTCTATGAAGGAATAAGTGGTTGTTTTTCATTAAAGGTTCGCTTCGGCGGGAGGGTGGGATAAAAATCAAATTAATAAATTAAATAAATAAATGTAAAGGTTCCCTTGCTCGAAAGCCAGTCGAGTCCAACTCTAGGGTTGCGGTGCTCATCTCCATTTCAAGCCGAAGAGCCAGCACTGTCCGAAGACGTCTCCATGGTCACGTAGCCGGCATGACTAAACACCGAGGCGCACGGAACGCTGTTACCTTCCCACTGAAGTGGTACCTGTTTATCGACTTGCAATTTCTTGCTTTCGAACTGCTAGGTTGGCAGGAGCTGGAACTAGAGACGGGAGCTCACTCCATCATGCGGCACACTCGGGCCTCGAACCGCTGAACTACCGACCTTCCACAGCCTGCAGTCCAGCGTCTTAACCACTTGAGCCACCATAGTAATGTTTTTCATTACCGGACACTAAATGATGTTATGGCTTTAATCTAAATACAGTGTTGGACTGGATGGGCCTTTGGCCTGATCCAACATTGGCGATTCTTATGTTCTTATGTTCTCGGAAGCCCCCCACCCAAGCCTTCTGGTTCCAAGAGCAATCAGCAGAGGTTACGCTTCAAGCTTTACGAGAGGGAGCGAGACTGAGGTCAGCAACTAAATATTTGCAGGGCATCACGTGGAGTACCAGAAAGCAGGTACAGAGGGCGAAATTCCCAGCACCAAGAGCATGGAGAAGACCAATCTCGCTTCCAGGCGCTACTAGAACCAGACTGCTTCCTGGCCATCTAGATTCAAGGTGGAAGCCTCCTGCGGACATTTCAAATCCGATATGTTGCAGTCGCTTGGGGCTGCACTAGCCTACGCTGCCTAAAATTTAAATGCTGGGCGTCATGTTGGCCTAGGAGCCCTGGCGCATGAACCCGGTCCACACAATCTATCCTTCCTGTTTTTGTCGTGTACGGGCGCTGCAGAGAATGCTACCGGACTACTGGGCAAACAAGAAGTCCAACATTGGGCAAGGGTGCAGCGCTGGGGAAGGTGCCCAACACAGTCTCGAAACCGTCATCTTCCCTTAGAGATTAGATTTTCTTTTCTTTTCAAATGAATTTTTATTGAACAATAAACCAACATATACAGCTTTTAGAATACGTTGCATCATAAAACCTATAGAGCATACAGCCAACCATTCTTTGATCAAAAGTTGTAATTTGTTACAGAACATAAAAACCTTGCGGGAGCAGATCTGTTCAAATTGACCCAGTGTACTAGCTAAAGCTTGTGCATTAGAAGAGAGATTAATGTAAAAGGACCTTTGACATTGTAACATAGGGGACAGAAGTACGAATTAGAAAGAGATCCAAGAAGAGTAATGAACATTAGAAAGGAGCAATTCTTTATCTGTCATCCAGGGCTCTTTTTGTAGCAGGAACGCCTTTGCATATTAGGCGACACACCCCTAATGTAGCCCATCCTCCAAGAGCTGACAGTAGCCCCTGTAAGAAGAGCTCTGTAAGCTCTTGGAGGATTGGCTACATTAGGGGTGCATCGCCTAATATGCAAAGGGCTTCCTGCTACAAAAAGAGCCCTGAAATGTATTATTATTATTATTAGGCTCTTTTTGTAGCAGGAACTCTCTTGCATATTAGGTGACACACCCCTAAGATGGCCAATCCTCCAAGAGCTTACTGTAGCCCCTGTAAGAAGAGCACTATAAGGTCTTGGAGGATTGGCCACCTTAGGGGTGTGTCACCTAATATGCAAGGGAGTTCCTGCTACAAAAAGAGCCCTGAATTTATTATTAGGCTCTTTTTGTAGCAGGAACTCCCTTGCATATTAGGTGACACACCCCTAAGGTGGCCAATCCTCCAAGAGCTTACAGTAGCCCCTGTAAGAATTGCTCTGTACGCTCTTGGAGGATTGGCTACATTAGTGGTGCGTCGCCTAATATGCAAAGGGCTTTCTGCTACAAAAAGAGCCCTGAATTAGGCTCTTTTTGTAGCAGGAACTCCTTTGCATATTAGGCGACACACCCCTAATGTGGCCAATCCTCCAAGAGCTTACAGAAGCCCCTGTAAGAAGAGCTTGGTAAGGAGTTCCTGCTACAAAAAGAGCCCTTATTGTAGCCATGGGTACCAGGTAAGTACAAAACTGGAGTACAGTGACAATGAGCCATGTTGTCATCTTTCCTATGAGTCTGTAGTTTTCAACTTTGAGTCTGGCTCTGTCAATTTGGGAGAGCTGAGAACGGCTCTGTGAGTGGCCACTGTCGTCTCGAAAAGGTCACGTGAGCCTCGTCACCAAACGGCTCCCAATCCGGGAACAAAAGCTCCTCTCCTCACCCGGGAATAAAGAACGAGGTGCCCAACAGCCCGGGTGACTTCTTGCCGGAAAGGAAGCTTTTCATATAGCAAAGGGACCACCTGGGAAAGTTGGAAAGTCCCAGCTGCACAGAGGGGGTGCCACGGAAGGGGGGTGCCACGGAAGGGGGGGGTGCCACGTTCTGCCACCAACTCAAAGGACGGCTAGGACTGGCCGGAGGGGCCGGGCGCCTCCTTTTTGGCCTCCGCTTTCGGCGTCTTCAGCAGGGTCAGTTTCTTGGGCTGGTTGGCGTTGGCTTTCATCACCACCTCGTGCTCGATTTTCTTACGGATGCCGACCTCCAGGTTCTGCGGAGAAAGACTCTCGTCAGCCACCCAGGCAGCCCGGTTCCTTCGCCTTTATTTACTTTTTTCTCTATCGAATTTATACCCCGCCCTCCCAGCCAAAGCTGGCTCAGGGCGGCTTACATAAAGGAATAAAACACATCAATAACCATTTAAACTATCTTAAAATCGTCTAAAAACATCCCAGCATTATAAGGTGCTATGAACATTAATACTCGTAGTGGACCTAATACTACCCTGTTTTCCCGAAAATAAGACCTACTCCAAAAATAAGCCCTAGCAGGATTTCTATGCATTTGTGGTATAAGCCCTAGTGTGTCTTCTTGAGAAAAAATAAATATAAGACAGTGTCTTATTTTCGGGGAAACACGGTAATAGTAGACCTGTTATTAAATGACGACGGCCATCAGTCAATAGCATAATCTGGTGATCGGTTCATAGACCTAATTTTTTATTCACTGTGCCACAGGAGGTGGCGGCGGCTACAAGCATGGACAACTTCAAGAGGGAATTCGATAGGCATATGGAGCAGAGGTCCATCAGTGGCTATTAGCCACAAGGTGTAGATAGGAACTCTCAGTCTGGGGCAAGGGATGCGCTGTCTTCTTGGTGCTTGGGGGAGGGCAACAGTGGGAGGGCTTCTAGGGTCCCGGCCCCACTGCTGGACCTCCTGAGGGCACCTGGTATTTGTGGCCACTGTGTGACACAGAGTGTTGGACTGGGTGGGCCATTGGCCTGATCCAACGTGGCTTCTCTTATGTTCTTATAGGAGAGAATTGGATAAACATGCGGGGGAGAGGTCCATCAGTGGCTATTAGCCACAAGGTGTAGATAGGAACTCTCAGTCTGGGGCAAGGGATGCGCTGTCTTCTTGGTGCTTGGGGGAGGGCAACAGTGGGAGGGCTTCTAGGGTCCCGGCCCCACTGCTGGACCTCCTGAGGGCACCTGGTATTTGTGGCCACTGTGTGACACAGAGTGTTGGACTGGGTGGGCCATTGGCCTGATCCAACGTGGCTTCTCTTATGTTCTTATAGGAGAGAATATGCGGGGGAGAGGTCCATCAGTGGCTACTAGTCACAAGGTATAGATAGGAACTCTCAGTCTCGGTCTGGGGCAAGGGATGCTCAGTATTCTTGGTGCTTGGGAGGGCAACAGTGTGTGGGGGGGTTCTAGTGTCCTGGCCCCACTTGGTGGACCTCCTGTGTGACACAGAGTGTTGGACTGGATGGGCCACTGGCCTGGTCCAACATTGGCTTCTCTGATGTTCTTAACTGCCCTCATTTGCTTCTCCAATTTGCTGGGCCAGTCTCCGCCGCATCCCCAGGTGACTTTGCTCTCCGCGGCCCTCTCTTCCGTTACTCAAAGACAGGGAGGCTGGCTTGGGAGTTATTGCCTCCGGGGCGGCCGCTTGCCACGAAGGGCAGGGGAACTCACCTTCTTCAGTTTCTGCTGCTGGATCACTCGGGACTTTTTCGGAGCGATTATTCGGCCTGCAGAAGAAATCCGACACAAAGGGATTGAGCTCTTTCTCCCCCCCACGGGACTGGCTTCGAGTTAGGAACTATGTAGGCATACAGAATAGGGTTTTATCTACAAATACCAAGAAAGGTGCCCTGAGACTGACAAGGAAGTCCAGGGTGGCGACGCAGAGGCAGGCAATGGCAAACCGCCTCCGTTCATCTCCTGCCTTGACCTGGAGGGCCCAGTCTAACCCGATCTCAGAAGCTATGTTTGGTGTAGTGGTTAGGCGCGTGGACTCTAATCTGGGTGAGCCGGGTTTGATTCCCCCCTCCTCCACATGCAGCCAGCTGGGTGACCTGGGTGACCTTGGGTCAGTCACAAGTTCTCTACGAGCTGTTCTCTCAAGGGCAGTTCTCGGGAGAGCTCTCTCAGGCCCGCCTACCTCCCAGAGTGTCTGTTGTGGGGAGGGGGAGGGGATTGTAAGCCGCTCTGAGGGTCCTTCAGGTAGTGAAGGGCGGGGCATAGATCCAATCTCCTTCTCTCCTGTGTACGGTCAGCTCTGGTTGGTACTTGGATGCGAGGCCGCCGAGGAAGTCCAGGGTCGCTATGCAGGGGAAGGCACTGGCAAACCACCTGTTTGTCTCTTGCCTAGAAAACCCCATGAGGCCTTTTCTAACACCACACCGAGGCAGTTTCTTGAGCTATGTTTATGGGTCAGAAGGGACTGACACTGTCTTAAATAGAGAATTTGGTTCTGTCGTGATCTGGGCTGTGCCACCAGAGGTCTACTAGGCCCAGGGAGCCTGGCTAGCAGTAGGTGAGGCTGGGCCTACAACTCCCAGAAGCCCCTGAGAGGTTTTGGAGCCAAAACTGACCAACAGGAAAAGAGGAGGGCTTGGAATAAAAGATCTGGTGCAGCAGGAAAAGCTGTTCTTTCTTCCCAGAGGGCAGAGCCAGAAGAAAGGCCGCTGCGGGGAAGAGACCCTCATCCTGAGGGAAGGGTGAGTAGTCTAAGGCCACTGCAGATAGTGAGCTAGGGACAGTATATGTTTAGACGCGTTAGGGCATTTGATTTCTTTTCTGTTCACCCACTTACTGTTATTATTCTGCACCTTATTGTTTGACCTCCTATACAATAAACTATTTTCACTGTTCACTCTGCCTGGTCCTCACGCCTGTTATTTGGCCAAAAGGGAGGTCTGAAGGTCTTGGGAGGGTGCTCTGGGCCTTCTCAGAGGACCCTGGAACCAGAGTGGTGGCAGCGCCAGGTGACCACCCCACCTAAGCTGTGACACGTTCAGTGTAGAATTATAATGGGAGACCCCTGGCGGGTGTTCTCAGAAGCTCTTTCCAGAGCGTTCCAACTCTCAATTTGTTTAAAATATTTATACGCCCACCTTTCTCCAGAGTATCTCAGGACCCAAGGAAGGTCAACTAGACATCATGTCCAGTGTTCCCTCTAAGCTGAGTTAGTGTGAGCTAGCTCACAATTTTTTAGCCTCTGGCACATACATTTTTGCCTGAGCTCAGGGAGGATGGCTCCAGAGCAAACTAATTTACACAGTAGCCGAATCGCTTGCTAACAACTTTAGTGCCCATAGCTCACAAAGGAGAATTTTTGCTTGCAGGACTCCACAGCTTAGAGGGAACATTGATCATGTCAGGGATAAGGTAAAGGTAAATGTTTTCCTTGCTGGAAAAGCCAGTCGAATCCGACTCTAAGGATGCTGTGCTCATCTCCATTTCCAAGCCGAAGAGCCAGCACTGTCCGAAGACGTTTCCGTGGTCACGTGGCCAACATGACTAGAGGCCAAGGCGCACAGAACGCTGTTACCTTCCCGCTGAAGCGGGACCTATCGATCTACTTGCCATTTCTTGCTTTCGAACTGCTAGGCTGGCAGGAGCTGGGGCCAGAGACAGGAGCTCACTCCGTCACGCGGCACTCGGGTCTGAGCCACCGCAGGGATCAACCGGCATGCAAATCCCAAGTTCAGCCATTAACTTGCCAAGTCACCGTTCGCCAGCCATAAAACCAGAACTTCCTCTAGGGCAGGGGTCCCCAACATGCCGTGGGCACCATGGTAGTTGCCAGCACCTTTCCCGGTGCCTGGATGTTTTCAGGAAATGGGCGGGGTCAGCGGGGGCTTTTGCCCAGCAAGGCTTCTGATTAGCCACAGGAAATCTCATTAGCTGTGCCGGTTTCTAAAACCTTGGCGGCAGCACAAGGATCTTCGCAGTGCGACCGACCGGAAGCTAGGGCAACCATTCGGTAGCTGGCTCCGCCTCCTGCAGCAGCCATGTTGTGGCAGCCATTTTGTGGCGGCGCCTACCATGCTCTGCCAGAATTCCAAAGGTGCAACCAGGCACAAAACACACGTTTGTGGGGGGGGGGGGGGGGGGATGTGCTATCCTGAAGCATTTGTACAAGTCAAAAATTCACATATTGGAACATGTTAAAGAGCCAGTTTGGCGGAGTGGTTAAGTGCGTGGATTCTGATCTGGGAGACATGGGTTTGATTCCCCGCTCCTCCACTCGCAGCTACTGGTGTGACTTTGGGTCAGTCACAAGTTCTGTCAGAGATGTCCTCTCAAGAGCAGTCCTGGAAAGAGCTCTCTCAGCCCAGGGTGTCTGTTGTGGGGAGGGGGAGGGAAAGGAGACTGTAAGCAGCTCTGAGACTCCTTCAGGTAGTGAAAGATGGGGTATAAATCCAATCTCTTCTTCTTCTAGAACACACAACAGCCAACTGGTTGCCCCAAAGGGCCGACAAGCAGGGCAGAGAGGCAGAACCCTTCCCCTGATGTTGTCTCCTGGCTCTGGGATTCTCAGGTTGACTACCTTAGGACATGGAGGTTCCCTTTAACTCACCGTGGCTAGTGGCCATTGACGGAACTGACTTCCATGCACCTGGCAAACCCATCTGTGCTTGTGGCTGTCACTGTATGTCCTGGAAAGGAATTCCACGATTTAATTACTCGTTGATTAAGGAGCTATTTCCTTTTGCCTGTCCTGAATCTTACCAGGTCAACCAAGGTCAAAAATAGCCAATAACGGCATGAAAAGTACAGGGAGTTCTTCAGGATCCTCCCAAAATGCCAGATCTGATCAAGGGCATCAAACTCTCTTCCCCTCGATGATGGGCCCGGTGAACTGTGTCCGCCACCCATATATAAAATTATATGTATATCCCTATATTGTTTGATATACGCATGTAACACTCTTCCCTGCACCATGGTGGCGGGAAATGCCGTGAGAACTAGAGATGGGAGCTCACTACCTCATGCGGCGCACTCAGGTCTCGAACTGCTGAACTACCGACCTTCCACAGCCTGCAGTTCAGCATATTAACCGCTTGTGCCACCGCAGCTCCGGTATATATGTACCTATGCTTTATCTTTTATATATTTTTTTTCTATACTAAGGCCAATAAGGAGCTGCGGTGGCTCAAGTGGTTAAGACGCTGAACTGCAGGCTGTGGAAGGTCAGTAGTTCAGCAGTTCGAGACCCGAGTGTGCCGCATGACGGAGTGAGCTCCAGCTCCTGCCAACCTAGCAGTTCGAAAGCAAGACATTGCAAGTAGATAAATAGG